GGCGATGGTGTGACCGCGCGGAGACGTTGCTGGGGGAAAGCTAAGCTGTTTGCTAAGCTCAGTTTTGCAAGTGGCTTGCGTTACAGACGGTTACCTGCTCCCTGGCATGATCCACACTCCGTCTACCAGCTGTCTGAGACAAAAAGGAGTGGCATTCCAGAGCCACTGTGAGGTTTTTCCTTGCCTTGTAGTGTTGTGGTTGTGTAGGGCTTTTTTTTTTTAGCTTTACAGTTTTTTCAACTGAAAAACATTTTTTACTGGAGCAGCCTGGAGCGAAGGGTGAGGGACGTACAGGGGCAAGAAGGTGCTGCCAGCAGAGTTTGCTGCGTTCCCTTCGGCAGACACCAGAAATGATGCTCATGGCCCAGGACGGTAGGAACTCCACCTCCCTGTGGGAATGCATCTCCTGGTGAGCACTGGGGCTTTGGAAAGCACCAACATCTCGGCTAAAGGAGGAGCTGCAGTGTGCTGTTTCAGCGGTCGGCGATGCCAGGGCTGTGACAGATGGCTCCTCAGGGGCTGGCTGGGTCCCTGAATAATCCTGTTTGTTAGGGTGCTGTGCAAAGGCCAGCTGCTGGTGGCCGGGCTGCAAGAGCCAGCAGGATCCCGACGGAGCTCGTGCAGGGGGGCGAGGTGAACGCCACACCAGGACCATGGAAATGCCTGCGTGGTTTATGTACAGCCTTCTTTCATACAGCTAAGTCCTGTGCTTTTAAATGGACAGGATGTGTCAGGAGCAAGCCAGAGCCGCCCTAAATGTCCGTATCAACAGAGGATAGAAGTGAAGAGGTGAGCGCTCCATTAGATGGCTATGAAAGGCAGTAAACCAGCTCCTCGCAGCACAGGACGGCATTTCTGATGGGGTAGCAAGACCAGAAACTGGGTTTCTCTTCTCTGCAGAGAACGTTACGGAGATGTGGGCTGTGCTCTTTGAGCTGTTTCTAGAGGACGAGATCTCTCTGTGGCAGCAGATGTGGGATCGATTGAAGAAGTCCATTTGCTTGGTGGTGTTAGCCATAGAAAACTTGATGAAAATGCTCCAACATGCTTTTTAACTCCAAATGTGCAATAGGATTTGCGACACCTAATGCAGGGACCATAGGAGAGTCTCAGAAGCAGGGCGAGTTCCCAGGCTCTGGTAGATCTGCGGTGATGCCTTGGGCAGCAAGCCACGTTCTCACCAGGGCTGCGATTCAGAAATGAAGCATCTCAGCAGTGCAGATCAGATCCAGGGCTGGCTTCAGCTTCTGCTGCGTTATTCATGAGCATGCAAAAGCTCTGAAAAATGTGACAGACTTTGGGTTAGGTTGTCAACACAACATTACTTCTCATGAGATGAAATACGAGCGTGTCCCTGTGAAGGCAGGAATGTATACACTGGAAGCTGTGAGATAATGGCATACATAAAGGGAAAGTGAAGTCTTTGGTGTTCTGCTCTCGGTGGGTTTGTTTTCACTTCCCTCCCAAGAGGAGCGCTTTGCTTGCGAGCTACAAGCACTCGCAGCCACGGCAGCATGGTTCAAATCTGTTTGAAAACGTTTTGCCCCAGAATTGCTTTTGCGTGGGGGTTTTGCGAAGTCACTTGCTTGTGAGCGTGGAGGCTTCGGAGCCCCTCCGCGGCTCCTGGAGAGGTCACGCCGGCAGCCCTGAGCCTCCTCTTTGCCAAAGCGAGCGCTCAACGAAGAGGTCAGCTGAAAATTTGGCTCGTGTTCCCTTTTTAAGCAGAGCGCTCAGCCCTCTCGGGTAATGATCCGCAGGGGCTCAGCGCCACTCCTGAATGCCTAAAGCGTTTTGGCCAGGTTGCTGTGGGTGACTGGGGCCGGGTGGGTCAGAAGGAGGTTGCTCCGCTGCCCTTGGGGTGGGAGGAGGAGTAAGGGAAAAGGCAGGAGTGCTCGGAGGCCCCCGGGGTTGTGTGTGGCTGGGAGAAGACCGCATGGCCGGGCTGTAAGTTCTCTTACAAACTCGTGAACCTCTGTGCTTTCCTAATGGAAAAGGATTTGGTCCCATTGTCTGAGAAATTAGTGGGAGTTTTCCTGTTGGTTTCCATGAGAGCGGGTCTGGGAGCACAGTTTATATAAAGGGAGCTGCTGTGCACGTGGGTATTTTGTCCACCTGGACATATGTTATTATATAAATCTGTAATTGCTTTGTGTTAAAGGCATGTGGGGGTCCTGAGCCTTGGGTCCAGCATTCCCCACGTCCCCGGGCACACAGCAACCAGCCTCTGTGTTTTAATGCTTTTTAATTCACAAATAGCGTCTGGAACAGCACTTTGGCAGGGGACAAACAAAGCCCAGATCTGCACCAGAGCTGTCCCAGCCCTGCATGTGCTGGGTGAGATGTGATGCATCTTGTAACCGTTTCTAGCAAACAGGTCTGTCTGGCCGTGCCCACGGTGAGGAATCTGGTCTGGGTGCTTGTCTCGGCTGTTTCCAGTCTGCCTAGAAGGTGAAGACCTGGGTGTGCGGCATCCCCATCGTCTGCGCCTCCAAACCCCTGGTGCATGCAGCCCAGGTGGGAACGGTGGTGAAGTCTTGAAGGTGCCTCATCTGGGTGCTGGGGGACTGAGCAAAAATAACATCTGTATCGATCCTGCTGCTGTGTCCAGAGCGTGTGTCGTGGTGTAGCTTCAAACACCGATTTACGAGGACAGTGCTATCTACTCTGCACTAGCCGGCTGGCTGGGAGAGCTTCTCTATGCCTCCTTTTTCCTGGGGAGAAGATGGTAGTAACTGGCAATGTGTTTTTCGGTTGACAGTGGACAGGGCTGTATAGAGAAGAGCAAAGTATTATTGCTCTTGTACAGTCCTGGTTTTGGTAAAACCACATGGGTTTGGAGAAAATACGGAGTTCCTTTGTCAACCACACATAATATCTGAAATTCGTGTATGTGAAGTGCTATGAGTAATCTTCTGGCTTTTGGAAGAAGTGTTTTCTTTATTGAAAAGTAGTGACTCGCAACGGATTCCCGCAGCATTAGTTGGATACGTGACAGGGAGATCATATAAAAGGTCACCATCGGTTTGAAATGAAGGCAATGAAAAAATGAGTGTCTGGTACTAAAACTGGAGATTGTTGGCCAAGTATTGCAGTCTCACTTTCCTATTTTTAAAACTTTCTCACCAGCTGCTATGTGACCCTTCCCTCCACACCCACAACAGAAAAAACCTTACTGATTAGAAACAGGAAATAATAAAACTCACTAACCACAAAATATTTTCAAATGTGCAAAGTAAACAAGCAGAGATGGTGAGAAATATGTATTTCCCACTGATCTCCTTTCAGCACAGTAACCATAGCCGATAATTATAGTCACTGGGGATTTACAGCTTTTAGGGGGAAAGCATGTTTTTAAGTTGATGCTGTCAAACCATAGTAAAATATTTTCATCACAGCCTCTCCCAGCATAACAATAAGGTGGCCGCAAGTGCCACGAGATGCATTCCTGACAGCGTCTAGAAGCAAGTGAAAGCTTCAGGCCCCATCTGCTCCTCTTACCTGCCCCACTGGTGCGCAGACCTCAGCGCTGGGCAATGGAGGTTCCTCTGGTGGGTGCAGCCACGTGGGCCTGTGTGGCGTGGGGGTTTCATCTAAACTCAGCAATACGCATGATAATAAACTGGGAAGGTCTTTAATGTCTTTCCTCTTCCAGGATTTTGGGGGTTTGCTTTGCCTGAATGTTCCCCCTGCCCGTGGGCGGTCGGTGTGCTCTGAGTAGTCGGTGTGCTTTGCTGTGGCTGTTTGCTCGGGCTGGCCCCAGCTCCCACCCCCACCTGGATTTTTGTGGTGGGATGATTTGGATGGATTTTCTGTATTGGTGGTCGCTCTGGAGGCCCCCATCAGTAAAGAGGGACGGGCTAATTTTCAGGCAGAGGGTGAAAACCAAGGTTGCAGTAAGAGCTGTACAATTCGGTGTCTTTACCTGCCTCCTGACCCCACGGTTGAAGAAACCTGCCGTGCCTCCACGCAGCCATGTGTAGGCCAGTTGTTTCTCCTACCGCCCTTATGCCGCTGCTCCTAATGGCTTTTCAGGCGGGCTGGATGAAAGGGAGAGTTTGACAGAAAAAGATGCTAAACCCAGAGGTGATGGTTTTCGCTCCTTCGGCACATCATCAAATAGATCTCGCTGCATAATGAGCCCCTCTGAACTGCGGGGCCATTAATTAGTATGCACAGTGTTTGTTTAAGAGCTCCTTGCTCTTTTATTTTAACTGTGAGGAACCTTTAACTGCCTTTGAGATGAAAAACTGCAACCAAATGTTGCCAACAAGCTGAGCAGATTTGTCCCAGTCTCTTTGGTCCAATTTGCAGGGAATTTTGCCTTCTGCCCTTTAGATTATCTCTGCAGTTCCCTTATAAGTAAAAGCTAAAGCATCAATCCAGGATGATAAACTCAACTCCTGATTTGCTTCATAATTTTCGAAGTGTTGCTGTGAGCCAGGTGATTGTGTGTGTGGTGCACACTGCTTTTTCTACAAAGCATCAGGGGTGAAACCCAAACCATCGCTTTCAACCGCCTTCAGGAAAAACCGTTTGTGAAAGAAGAAAACAAAAGCAGAACCTCAAGTACTGTTTATTCAGAGCAGACAGGACAAGGCTGGGAGAAATATCAGTCGTTATCTTCCGAAAGTTTATTTAGAACTTTTAGTTATAGAAACAAAAATCTCTAAATAATAACTATATGTAACATTATATATATATACACGTAGCTCACGAGTTTAATAGTAACGTCAGGGCATCCAGGTGGCTGGGAACAGCACAGCCAGCGTGAGCAATCCAGAGAGCATTTCTAAACAGCCTAGAAAGTCCAAACCAAGTTTCTTTTTTTTTTTTTTTTTTTCCTAATCACTGCAGCATTTTTACAGGAATCAGAACGGGAATCTCCTACAGCTGCACAGGGATAATAATAAAAATAAAAAGCAGAAGAGATCGGCCGTTTACCCCTTTACCCAACGAAGTGATCTCAGTGGCTTACGAGAGGTCTGAGAGGTAAACTTGATGCCAGAGAGGGCCGTTGCTTGTCGTCTTGTGTTTTTATTAATAGGAAGTTAATTATTTTAAGAAAGTGAGACAAGAAATCTATATAATTAATATACACTAAAGAGCATGAGAGGATTCTATACAATAATTTAGATGTATTAAATAAATAAAAAATAATAGCAGCCTTCTACAATGCAGGCTACACATAGGTTTACTTCGGCTTGAAGTACCCTGGTCTTTAGTACACCTACAGGAACAGACTTGCTCCACAAGTGTTTTAAAGAAACATATCTATAAGATACATACGTAAGAGTGTCTAAGGTTAGGATAAACATTTTAAAACACACTTTACCACGGTCTCCACATATCTAAGGATCCCATTCTAGGGTTGTTATGGGAAAAATTTGGCTGCAGGACCTGTCTGGGAGGTGCAGCGTCAGCCTGGCTGAAAACCGACAGCGATGGCAGCTGGAAGGAGTTCTTCGAAGCCTGCTTGTTCTCCGCGGGGTAGAAGCGCTCCTGCGATGGGTGTGTGCCCCGAGCGCTCCCCTTAGGGCTCAGGGGGCTTTTTGGCGTCAAGAGAGGCTGCTGAGATGGGCTCGAAGACCTTAATGCCGCTTTGCAGGTGTCTTCGCCAGACCTGGGTAAGGATTTCAGGAGGTGGTTCAACAGCCGCGCCCCGAGGGTCTTGTCCATCCACTCGCAGGTGAGGAGGAGGTTGTGCACCTCGTGCATGCACTGAATGTACCCGGTGCTGTACCTCTGCTGGGCTTCCAGACCCACTTTGGAGTCGGCTGCGTTGGGGAGGAGACAAGGGGAGTTGGTGAGCGGGTAGAAGCTGCCCGGTGCGCTCCTGCTTAAGAGCGTTCGCCCTGAAGCTTCCCCGGGTTCCTGGGGGGCTCCTTGCTGAACCCAGCTGGGCGTTGCTAGAAGGTGACTCGTTCGCAGGGCGCGGGGGAAGGTGACGCGGGGCGCGAGCCACCCCGGCAGGGACCCCCACGTCCTGCTGCCCACGGCCAAGGGCAAAACCAGAACAAAAAAGCAGAAAGCGGCTCTGGGAGGACAAAAACCCTCCCGTGGGTGAAGCGGTGCCCAGCTCCATCTCCCCATCTAGTGGAGAAAGCCAAACCCGAGCAGCAGCCGGGGGCCTCAACAGGTTGGAAAGATGCTTTTGCCGAGCTGCCAGCGGATTAAACCTGCTGGCACCCTCCTGCCCCGGCACCGCCCGCGCTCGCAGGGTGCGGGACCGGGCACTCACCCATCAGCTTGCTGCTCTGGATGTTCTGGAGGTGCTTCACCGTCATTTCGAGGATGTCCGCTTTTTCCAGTTTAGACTGCTGGTAAGGAAAGAGCACAGCAGTTAGAGGCAATGAAGGGTTGTAGCATGTCCAGTTCCTCAAAAGAGGAGACAAACCCCCCCCCCAAAAAAAGCACCCCAGTCTCCCACCAGCAAAAGGACAAAAAGCAGCATAAAAATGAGCACTTACATCCAGGTGAAATGCACCCACAACAGTCTCCTTCAGCTGGTCCAAGCAGTTATTAATCCTTTCCCTTCGCTTCCGCTCGATGAGGGGTTTCCTTAACTGGGGGGGGGAAAGAAAAGGAGGAGGAAAAATCGCAGTTGATATTTTTTCTTCCTCTCCCTGCTGCAGTTCAGCGAGGGCAGAGTGCCCCATCCCCTGCGTGAAGCCAGATGCTCGGCAGGGATTACGGAGTGAGAGTGCGGTCCCCCGCCACGGCCTGTCTCTTAGACAGCATCAGCTCTCAGTTCTCCCACTTCCACTCATTTTAAGCAGAATTTACTGAAATGAAAGAGAAAGAAACCTTTCTAAACTGGAGAAAGGAAGCAGAAAAAAACCACCCACGTGGCTTAAATTCAGAGAAAGCATCTTTATAATCAGACGGAAAAAAAAAATTGTCCCCTTTCTCTTTCCAAGAAGCAGTGCCCGCAGCCCCGCACTCATCGCTCGCGTGCCACGCGTTGGGCTGCCGTTGGGCACGCGTGGGCGCAGGAGCGCAGAGGGGCCCC